CCCCACTTATAACCTTCATTACCTCATGAGATCTGGGGTTTATACAGCTCTTATTAAAGATATACTGTTACTTACGAAGCTTACTCAAGCGGAATATAAGTAGTGTAGTCGATTACAAAAAAAACAAATACCAATTTGCTGCATCGACAATCCTACAACAGAATGTGATATAAGAAATGTGTGACTTGCCCTGAAATTCACTTCTCTCATATGATCCACGATTGTTCATGACAGTGTGGCGTAGTAGTAATATGTTGTAATTATACGCTATTGGGGGTGCTAAGTAGACCCAGGCGAGGTCAAAATGGCAGTCACTCAGTATGCGAATATCTATTGGTGAAGCATTCACCTCTCAGGCCTTGGTTACGTAATCTCGTATAGGGTATATACCGCTTTTATTCAAGATCTACTTGTAATTGCGAAGCCTCCTTAATCAGAATATACCATACTTGTGCTTTGAGAGGTAAAGTATTTGATACATTATCCGGCCTGAGCTGGAAAGAAAGAGCCCATTGGGTGTTGCCAATGCGACCTTTAAGAAGAGCATGCAACTTAGATAATACTCAGACCGCTTTCATCCAGGTCAAAGGCCGGATCTGTCTCGATATTTGTCATCCCACCCACTGCTATTTCTCTCGAGATGCTTAAAATTGGGCGCATGTGCACTATTTGTCTTCTTTTTAGCATAGACGTCATCGTCACACCATTGAGGCCATGCTCTGCGTCGTCAAGACTGATGTTCGTCTCGAATGACAAAACACTGTTAAGATACAGAATAGAGCGAAACGTTGGGAAAATAACAAATGCAAATTATTTGTAAGCGGCTCAATTATGACCAACAGCAAGATTAAGACAAAGATACGAGATAATTAATATAGATAGTTTTCACACCTGTATGCATAAAATAAATCAAACCGTTACTGCAAAGACAAGAATAAAAGTCGGGTCTCGAAGAAGAAGACGGGTGAAAGCGACTCTTAAAGTGGCTGCACCGGATACCGAAAGGGGGTTGCCTTGAACTTTTATTTGTGGAATTGTGCGAAGAAGACCTTAGCTCAGCGTCATGTGACACCGATGACTATGTGCTGAGTTTTTGTCCATTATGTGACAAACATCGTCAGAACCAGAAACCATTATTCACGAACAATCACCATATACCCCAAACGAGGAAAGGTATCCGTCAAGGCCAATTTACGAATCCCTTTCATCCACCTTCTCATATAAAGTGAAAACCAGCTTCTCTTCAAATCTCTTTAGAAGTTCCTTTTGCTACACTTTGATCTGGCTTGAAAAGTTAGCCGGCTGGGGTCTATGAATAGGTATCTCTGAAAGCCCAAATCGGATAGACTTGTAGTAATGAATATTCTAGTCAGTCCTAACCGCATCGTCTTACGACCTCAATGAATCAGTACTAAGCTTTCCTTTATCACGTGGTAGACATCGTCGGGGAGGAAAATAAGTTTCATAAAATTGTACCAAACAGGTCTGCCATTATCCTACTTCTTTATACCCTAACCTTGTCCACTTATC